TAATATTTAACGGTTGAAAGTTTAGACGCAAACATGTACTACGCCATAGCTTGGGTGAGCGTTGCGTAATTTCCCCAGATGTTTACCACATTTGTTTTGTTGCGAATATAAGTCAAGATAACCTACAAATGTTCAGATATATGGTGTGTACGATGACTGCAGATGATAAGCATAAACTTCCATATTATTAGCAGATAAGCATGCGCAGCAGACCATTGGCGTATCGAGGCATCATCATTTTACTGAACATAATTTTGGAAAAAAGTTTGTTAGAAACATGATCAACTCGATTTTTCTTTGTGAGCTAAAATTTACGGCCACTCATACTAAGAGCTCCACCGATATTTACCCTTTCACATGCTCTTATTGACAATCACAAACTTCTCAGCCACAAAGTCGAGCAAGCTCATTGTCTGTGATACATCTTGATCCAGTGAGGAGATTATACAAGCTTACATTGATCCCACTGGGTTAACTATTGCATGTTCCAGCAGAATCGATTGGCAGTAAAATTCACCAAAAGAAGTGCTAGTCGGTATAAATCCATGAGCAAGAAATTTTACTGTAAGAATAGTAAAAGAAATTTGTCAAGTTGAAGATAGAAATGATTGGAGCTGGCTTTCATTCCAAGGATCATTTCACCAGGCAAAAGGAGAGATGAACTCAAACCTCCAATAATTTCCGTCACAAATTATAGAATAACTGGAGTCTGGAGCAGAGAAAACAAAGGAGAAAGGTCTACGAAGTAAGAATAACAAGACCAAGCAGCAGGACGACGGCATGAAACATGATACATAAGGGTTGGCTTTCATAACATTGCACAGACCATGAAAAAGGCATTCTTATCCCAGGAGAGCAATATTAGATTTTCACTAACAAGGATCAGAGTATCTTCAAGCCAAACATAAATTACAACCAGAGAAAGAGGACTTCCGCACGTGCGATACTGTTCCTTGTTCAGTACAAGCCCGTGTTCTCATTGAGAAAAATGCCGGCATTTGTTTAGTGAACATCATATTTATTTGACATCCATCGCATAAAGAAGTAGAAACCTAGAAAAATCAATTAGCTAATGGAAAGCAAGATCCAGAAGCAAAATTGGCAAGGATAAAACTACTCTCACTATTCCCACTATTGCCATTTGTAAATTCAAACAAAAGATTGACATGATCCAGGGAACCATTACTACCAAACCTCAAGAACCCTTTAGCAAGTACAATTTTGATCCTTTCCCTATTCAATACCAAGGCGGCACACAATCTTTGAACATGACTCCAGAGGATTAAATATGTGAAGTACAAGAAAGAACCTCAAGTTGCCTTGCCACACTTCCATCCAATTAAACGGGGCACAAGGCTTCAAGTGGATCAGTATCCTCGCATCATTCGTTTTGGCTTCTTAACGAAACTTAGACGAATCTGCTTAAGGCGTCTCCTTTTTCTAGCCATTTTCTCAGGCAACGTCTCTCGCTTTTTCTCATTCTTCTCGGCCTTGGGCTTCTTCATGTATCTGGGGTCTAATCTATAGGCCTTAGGTTCCACAGGCACTTCTCTCCTCAATGCTTCGTTGAAGAGTGCATTAGCCTTGTCAAGACGATTATGGGCACAAAATTTTCCCATCAATAAGTCATATGTCTTAATACCCGGCTCACAGCCATCGGCCTTCATCTTTTTAAAAACACTCAAAGCATGATCAATCCTCTCAATCCCACATAAGATCTTCAAAAATCCATAGTACGCCTTTTTATCCAAGGCATACCCTGCAGATTTCATTCTGTCAATCATCTCGTCTCCTTCTCCCACTCTTGCTGCCTGATACAAGCTCTTAATTAACACAAGGAACGTCTCTTCATTAGGATAACAGCCCCATTCTCCCATTCTATGAAACAACTTCATCGCATCCTCCGTTTTCCTAATTTTACACAAATTCCCAATCAACACATTGAAAGTCTCAACATTTCTCGGAACCCCATAATAATCCATATCGACCAAAATGTGTTCTGCCTCCGAATTTAGCCGAAATGGGTCCTTTTTACGACAAAGCTTACAAACACAATCGAGAAGAGCATTATAGCCCGTTGTGCCAATCTCAAAGCCTCCCCTGTACATCTCTCTTGCCAACCTATTGGCCTCCTCCAACTTTCCGTCGACGCACCACCCCTTAATCAGCAAATCACAAACATGCTCATCTGGGAAAAATTCATGAGCCAAGCTCTTGACCATCTTCTCGGCACAATTGGCATAACCCTTTTCACACAGCTTCTCCACTACCATTTTCATCGATTCCTTGTCACGTTTCAGCCCATAATCCCTCTCCATCCTCTCAAAGAACCCGACCGCTTGAGCGGACCGCCCCGCCCGAACCAACCTATCAATAACAGATTCCAGGGTTTTAGAACTCGCTACATCCTTGGCATCGCTCAATATCTCGTCAATCGCCTTGAAATCCTTGCGTCGCCCAAAGTAATCCACAAACATCGACAGCGTCTCATCCGTGCGAGTAAAACCAGGGTTCTGAGCCAGCCACTGGTAAAACCCCAGCACCGTACGGCCGGCATCCGCCGACAGATTGAGCGTCGAGAGGACCAGGCCAGGGTCCGGCGTCACGTGAGAGAAGTTGAGAGCGAGGCGCTGGACGACGGAGAGCGCGTCCGCGTCCGCGTCCGCGTCCGCGTCCGCCGTGAGCTCCGCGGAGAGAGACCGAGCGACCTCGTCGCGACTCCGGTCACCATCTCCGCTTCGATCCGCAGCGTCCACGGCAGACGAAAAGTTCCGGCGCAGCGAGAAATCGGAGAAGCGAGGGAACCTGGGGAAGCAGGCCGGCGCGGCGCGCGGAGAAAATGAGGGAGGCGAGTGGAGGAGGAGGAGGCGGCGAGATTGGGCGCCGGAGGAATGAGGAGGAGGAGGGGAAGGAGAGAGGCGGCGAAGAAGGAGGAGCGTCCTGAGCTGCGAGGGTTTTAACGGCGGCATTGCTCTGAGAGACGGCGGAGGAGTGAGAGAGTGACGGTGGCGACCGCAGTTGCAGAGATCGGAGGAGGAACGAGAAGTGAAGAACCCTACGCCGCGAGAGAGAGAGAGAGAGACTTAGTGGGCCCAGATTTGGCGTGAATTATGGGCCGTCTTGGGCCTAAAGCGATCTTTAGGGTTGGGCCAGAATTAATGTGAGCCCAATACCGATACCGATGACTATGATGTTCATGATGAGCGATGCAAAAACTCTTGCTCCGGCCCGAGATTAAGGATCACTTGTCTTTCAAATGGGACCCACGATGTCCGAAGTATCTAACGATTGTGATTCACTTGATTCACATGGATTGAGTGCAAGGAGGAAAAGGATCGTGTGCGGAGGCTTTCCAATTTTAATGTAGATATATTAGGGGTGATCGATGCCAAACCCGAAATCTGGAACCTACTTTGTTAGAATCGGTTCTCAGTTTTTAAAACTTGGAATCTACCATGTTTTTCCGGTTCGGTTCCAAGGTTTACTGAAAACCTATTTTTCTTATGTTCCTTTATTTAGTTTCATTTTTTACAACAAAATAAGATGAGTAACAAAACGGTTCAAAGTAAAAGATGAACGAGGACGAGCGAGCAAAGGCGAGTCAGGGACGAGTGAGGGTTGTGAGGCTTGAACAATTGAGAGCAAGCGAGCAAGAGTGTGAATCGCGAGCAAGTGAGAGAGAGTCGTAAAGTGTATGAGTGAGGTAGGAGAAAAATGAGGTAAAAAGAGAGATAGAGGAAAAGATGTCAAAAGAAATACCAAACTTTTTAGACTTTATGAAATTGGTTCTAAATTTGGTTCGATCGGTCTAGTTCCCGAGCGGTTCTTCACTCGAAATCGGGAATCAAACCGTTTATAAAAGGGAGCTTGGAACCGAACCGATTTTCAAGGCAATTCGATCCGGTTCCTAGGTAGAACTGATCCGATTGCACAGCCCTAAAATATATAACATGAAAATGCTCTCGTCAAACATCAAGAAGGCAATCTTTAAAGCCCCTAAAACACTTGATAAAGCAACCAAATAAGGAAGAGTGTTTGAAGTTTTCATGACATTTTTTCTCAGGTTTATGTAATCAATTCTTAAAAAGTTGAAGGGAAAATGACATAAATAATCTCTGAATTTTAGCTCAATATGCAATGTTATCCCTGAACTTTTAATTTATTTAGTATGGTCTATGAACTTTAGTCTAATGTGCAGTGTCGCCCCAAATTTTTAATTTATTCAATGTGGTCCCTGAACTTTTTTGTACATGTTCAATTTAACCCCCAAACTATATAAGAATATTCAATATTGTACCGGAACTAAACATAATGGAAGAAAACTATTAGATATTTCATGTAGTCTAGGGACTGTATTTAAGATTTACTAAAAGTTCAGAGAACACATTGAATAAATTAAAAATTCATGGACGATATTGCACATTGAGTTAAAAGTTACGGTTCACATTGAATAAATTTAAAGTTCAAGCGTGATAGTACATATTAAGTCAAAGTTTATGGACCATTTATGTAATTATTTCAAAATCAAAATACTTACCAAATGTCTGTCGGTACGCAATAACAAGATTAGTTTAAAAAGTAATTGGTGACTTTCGTTCATCAAGTTTACCCAAAAGACTGATTCCGGAGGAAATGCCACTTCTTTACTCGTTCGGCCGACTGAATTGACTTCTATTCTTTCTTTTTTCAACTAATTTAAATTTTACAGCTCCCACATTTTGACTTTCTATTAATCCCAAATTTCCGAAACTTCCACAACACTTACATGTAGGCAACACTCAAATATCGATACGTAAAATCGTATATAATTTATTTTAAATTTTCTAAAAATCGGACACTATTGTAAGTTTTGGCGAGAAAAAAAAAATAAAAATAAACTACTTATTCGTGAGTGTGAACAAACTTGCGGGTCTTACAAGAACTGTTTGAAATGACCTTTTTAACCTCCAATAGACTCACCATGATGAGACACTGCTTTTTCCATAAGTTGCCCAACGTGAATGTGGGTCTGCATGTATGCATATGAACATGGATATCGAAGTCTGCAGTATCAGACACTCCAAGAAAAACCAGTCGATCCAATCGCGTCGCCAGGTTTGGAATATGAGGGGGGTGTGAGAGATTATTGTGGCCACTTTCGCTATGATAACAGGGAGCCTGATGTATGCGGTGATGGAAGCAAATTCACACAGTCGCAAAAGACAGAATCATTCTTCCAAAACCCGCCAAAGAAAGTTAAAAGGGTCACCGTTGGACCAACGATTAATAACGAGCTCTCAAAGCCATCGCGACGAAGACTAGCGAGTCTCTCTTCGTCTTCGTCGCCTCTGATTCGTGTTTCCTCTCATCTTGGAGCACACGCCAATGAAAATTTAAATCTCGAGAGGAAAAGAAGACGACCCACCGTTTTCTATTTTTTGGGCTTCGTTGTTGTTTCGCACTGATTCGCATTACTTGGCGGAAGGGCAAGAGTGATGCAGGGCTCCGGAAGAGAGGCAGTATGTTTTGAGTCGGGCATTTTTTCTTTTTAATCTCTTCGGAATTTGATGAAAATTATAGGCAAAATTTTAACTGTTCTTTTGGACTTCAAATTTAAAGAATTTTTGGTTGATTTGATTCCACGTGTGTTTGTCCACTTTGGATTGGTAATGCTTTTAGAATACTGAAGTGAGTGGAATCTTTGTTGAAATAGTTCCTGTCAAGGAAAGAAATGTTTCAATGAGTTTAAGGATTCAAGTCCAATACGTTGAGAAGAAATTTCCACACTGGGGTTTTAAGCTAAATTGGGTTTCTTTTTCTTGTTCGTTAAATTTGTTGTTGCATGGTGTTAAACGTTTAATTACCCTGCGTTTCCACTGAAAAGACTGATGGAAAAGAGTGAATTCACTTGGGTTTCTGTGATCAGTCCATGAGCAGATTTGAGAAAATTCTGGCTTTGGTCATCTTGTAGTCGAGTCTTGGTTACATGTTCAGTTCGTGAAAGCTTAAGAAATGTTTGGAAAATGTTCTTGGGTGCTTTTTTCCTCTTGGCTAAATTGTGAAAGAAAGACTTGGTACTGTACTTGACATCTTCATTCCCTTTTAATGTTGGTGTTTGTGTACTTTCAGTTTACTTCTTGTGTCATGCCCTCTTCTTCCCAATTTTATTGCAGGGAGAAAGAAAGAGAGATGATACTCTCAATAATAGTCATCCCACCGACCTCAAACACGGAGATGCTATACCGGTGAGAATGCCGTTTTGTTCATATTTTCTAAGTGACATCCTAGCGAGATCCGACTTCATGATACAATATTCCTTTCGGTAATTCCTTAGGTTGCAAATGTGGGATTTGGCAGAGTACTCTCACTGGTAATCTTCCCTTATGTTTACACTGTTCTTTGATCTTCGAGTAATCTCTTTGTGCGGATCGGACAATTTACTATATCATGGCATTTCATTAATTCACAGTCAAAGCCTGATGCCGGGAAGTTGATCGTTGCTACAATGGCTCTCTTGGTTGCATCCACCTCAAGCTTACTACTTGTAGGTTCTGTCAACTCTCTCCCTTTTGAAGTTCTATCTTTTATGTTGCAAGAAGCACGTTGAGAAATTGGACTGTTGATTGGAATACATTTAACCATTATGCGCAGCCAAAATTTGGTGGTAAAATTATAGATATTGTGTCAAGAGAGATGAGATCACCTGAACAGAAAGCAGAAGCGCTGGAGGCTGTCAACAGAACCATACTGGAGGTATTTTTAATTGTTGTGGCTGGGTAAGAACCTGCACTTGTTTCATTATCACCAGTTCTGGTGCAAAATTTGCCTCCTATCTGGCGACAAAGTCTCTTGTAAACTCGTAGCATTTTTGAACTGTTTCCTCGTGAGCTGACAAATTAGGTAGACTCTGTGGTAGCTACAAACCAGATTTCTTTTTCCCATAATAAAGGCTTCTCTCCTTGTCCACCTTCCAGTTCTGTTTGCACAGCACTTGAAGCATGGTTGTTCTTCTCTGCTAGTGAACGGGTCGTTGCTAGACTGAGAAAGAACTTGTTCAGTCACATTATTCATCAGGTATAACTCATCCAATGTATTGGTGTATGAACACCATGTAGTGCCGTTGCTGAGACATAGAGCTTCATGTATAGCAAGGCAATTTTGTATTAATTGCTCTGTGCACAACTTTTTTATTACAGCAGCTTGCATTTTTTTTGTAGGAAATAGCATTCTTTGATGTCACTCGAACAGGGGAGCTGTTAAGCAGACTTTCCGAGGATACTCAGATTATAAAAAATGCTGCAACCACCAATCTGTCCCAGGCCTTGAGTAATCTATCAACTGCAACTATTGGCCTCGGCTTCATGTTCGCAACATCTTGGAAGTTGACATGTAATTGGTCATTGCAGTGCATATTACTATATCTAGAGAAGTGCATTGATTGGTGGTTGACATTGGGCCATTCTTTTCGTTTATCTCACAGTGTTGGCTTTGGCCATTGTGCCTGTTATTTCTGTTGCTATACGGAAGTTTGGCCATTTTCTTCGCGAACTTTCCCATAAAACACAAGCCGCGGCTGCAGTAGCTTCCTCAATTGCTGAGGTATGACATGAAAGCATTAAGAATTTGGATATTTTGCTCATTCAGCTTGAGTTCGTCAATCAATTATCTATTGTCCGTAGGCTAATGCTGATCAACTTAATCACCAAATTAACAGTAGTAACTTGCTTATCTTGTGCTTTATATATGATGCTATATGCACCTGTAGAATCTTTAGTGCTTCAGGTAGACACTCAAAAAAGCATGAAACAAATCTATTTTATGCTACCTCGTTACTTTACAAAGTTGGAAGCTCATATACAGAATATTGTAGGAGTCTTTCGGTGCAATACGCACAGTGAGATCCTTTGGACAAGAAGGATTCGAGGTGTCACGCTACAGAGAGAAAGTTGACGAGACACTGAACCTTGGACTCAAACAAGCTGTGAGTTCCTCCTTGCTCTTCCCCTCCCTCCATTTTTCCTCACTCTCAACAGCTTTAAATTTCACCTCTCTTTCCGCTACAGAGGGTTGTTGGAATCTTCTTCGGAAGCCTGATGGCGGCCTTGACACTCTCGGTAGTTGGTGGAGTCATGTACGGAGCCAATTTGACCATTAGGGGTCAAATGTCACCCGGTGCCCTCATCTCTTTCATTCTTTATAGCTTCACCGGTATTGCTCTTAGTTATTTTGCTGAAAAATCGAAAAAATGAAATATGTGTCCGTCACTTTCAAGTTTTCAGGAGTTGCTCATTAAGCTTACATATCGGATATTACTCCATATGTCTAATTCAGGTACGTTCTTGCAGTGGGATCCTCTGCCTCTGGATTATCGATGTTGTATACTGAAGCAATGGGAGCTGCAGGAGCCAGCAGACGGCTGTTTCAGCTACTGGACCGTGTTTCATCCATGCCTAAGTCGGGGGATAAGTGTCCTTTGGGGTTAGTTCCTCTATTTTCTCTTACTCTGTTGGCGTCTTTCGAGATTTCATGTTAAAAAAACAGCCAAAAGTAAAAAAGATGAAGTCTCATTTTCTATTCCAATGCGAATCTAATGCTGTAAGTAAGTCGAGTATAGCAAATTTTAGTTGCTAGAAAGTTTTGCTTAAGAACATGCAACGCCTGTATAAATTACAATGATACGCCTCACTATGTTCTGTGTCTCGTCTTGTAGTGACCAAGATGGAGAGGTGGAGTTAGACGATGTGTGGTTTGCGTACCCTTCCCGTTCCAGCCACATGGTGCTCAAGGTGATGAATTTCTCTTGATCTATAGTAAGATCCAGCTCGTGTTTTACTAATGTAAAGAACACTGTACATCTGCAAATTTCAGGGAATAACATTAAAACTGCAGCCGGGTTCAAAAGTTGCTCTAGTTGGTCCTAGTGGTGGTGGAAAGCTAAGTTCTTCCTATGGGAAATCTTATCTCTTGAAACTCAGTTTGACGGCTATGAAGTACTATTAACTTCCAGGTGATGCTGTTCGACCTGCAATACTAACTTTTTCTACGCGTTAGACAGACCACAATAGCAAGCTTGATTGAGAGGTTTTATGACCCTACCAAGGGAAAGATTCTGATAAAAGGGGTTCCTTTGGTCGAAGTATCCCACGAGCATCTCCACCAAAAGGTCATTGTCTGTTAGATCTTTTACATTTTCACTCCCAATGAGCGGTAGTTCGAGTCATGAAGAACAATCCTATCTTTGGATGCAGATGTGCCTAAGTAACCGGAATATGCCATTGTTGCATCCAGTAAATGGTGATTATTTAACCGATACGTGCTGATATGCCGACAATTTACTCGTGCAGATGAGTATAGTCAGCCAAGAGCCTGTCCTCTTCAACTGCTCTATAGAGGAAAACATAGCCTATGGCTTTGATGGCAAAATCAGCAGCGAAGACGTGGAAAATGCGGCTGTAAGACCGACATATCTCCTTTACAAGAGTAGGGATACTAACCACTTCGACCGTTGGAACTCAGCATGACAATGATGATGTGAATTTTGCAGAAAATGGCCAACGCCCACGGGTTCATAGCGGAGTTTCCGGACAAATATAAAACCTATGTTGGAGAACGCGGGGTGAGGCTCTCTGGCGGTCAGAAACAGAGAGTAGCCATTGCGAGGGCTTTACTAATGAACCCGAAGATCCTGCTGCTAGATGAAGCCACGAGTGCTCTTGATGCCGAAAGCGAATACCTGGTTCAGGTGACACATCGGCAATATCTATCTCTTTAAGTTCGCATACTATCCTAAAGCAGGATATTCTAATTCGAGATCGAGACACAAACTTTTCACTTCATCGGTTGATCAGTCTCCAATGGTTTGTAGGACGCGATGGATACTCTAATGAAGTCAAGGACTGTGCTGGTGATAGCCCATCGGCTGTCGACAGTGAAGAGTGCCGATACAGTGGCGGTTGTTTCCGATGGCCAGATAGTTGAGAGAGGCACTCACGAAGATCTCCTCACGAAAGACGGGGTTTACGCCGCACTGGTCCGGAGGCAGCTACAAGGCGCCGAGAGCGAGATTAGGACCGCCGAGGCAGTTGATACTGGAACCGGAATTGCAGACAAATAGTAGTTTACACACTGCGTTGACGTTGGTGATTTATATGGTACATTGCATGCGGCACGACCTACTGAGAGTTTCACTCGTCAGCTTATAATGGATCTACACTTTGGCATACATCTAGTGCCAGCCCAGGGAATTATTTTAAGGAGCCGTGTTTGGTTCACTTTTCGCTTCAAAGTCTATTGTAAATCGACACTTATGCTATTAATGACAATCTTCTTTTTTCTTTCCGCAACTATCTTGAACGAAAAGAGACACGAGTTTTGACTACACAGTTCACTTCCTTCTAGATCAGGACAACTCGACTTGATGAAACTTTTTCGGAGCGATCGGCGGCGGCGGTGACCTGATCTGGAGGACTTATCTTTACTAGACTTCATCGGAGGCGTCAATTGAGAGAAGAAGATGGTTGTTCCTTGGAGACCTAATGCATTTGTCTATTGGGAGAAAAGTAAAGAGAGGAGGGAAGACCTAATGCCTTTGTCAGATTGGAAAATGAAATTTGGAGAGAGAAGTGGGAAAATATTAGAGGTAAAACGAAAAATTAAAGGGAGAAGCTAGACTAGAAGTGTCATTTTGCTTAAAACCGATTAGTAAATCACATTCAAATTCTCAATTAAATTGAAATAATGCGATGCATTTTTGTAGGGAAAAGTGCCAAAAAGTCCTAAACCTTTTGTATTGGTGCCAATTTAGTCCTAAACCTTTTTTAGTGCCAATTCAGTCCTAAACATTTTGCATTGGTGCCAATTTAGTCATAAACCTTTTTTGGTGTCAATTGAGTCCTAAACCTTTGCATTGGTGCCAATTCAGGTCCTAAACCTTTTGTCTTTGTGCCAATTCGGTCCTGCCGGTCAATTTGGCCGGATTTTTGCGTGGACGCTGTGTCGGCGGCCGGTCACCGGCGCGTTGACGTGGGCAACTTTAATATTTTTTTGAATTTTTGAATTTTTTCTCTCCCCTCCTCCTGGCGGTCTGGACCTGGTGGCTAGAGCCGCGGCGAGGCCGCCCTCGCTAGTGGCCGGCCGGAGAGCCTCGCCGGCGCCTACCTCTGGCCTCTGGCCACCGGCCGGTCGCCGGTCCAGTGACCGGCTGGAGGAGGGGAGAGAAAAAAAAAGAAAAGAAAAGAAAAAAAAAGAAAGAACTTAATAAAAAAGTTTAGGACTTTTTTGGCACTTTTCCCCATTTTTGTATATTAACCTGTAAAAAAAATATGATGAGATGCTTTGTGTTCTCTTAAAAGTTTTAAAAAAGTTCAAAAAGAAAATTGCATCTGAATATAAAGCTAAAATAATTGCAAACACTGATGCTTACACAAGAAACTTAAGATAGCGCGAGCTCAAGGATGGCCTTTATGTACGAGCCAAAACGAGAGTATTCACAGCTACCAACCAAACTAGCTAGTTGACGCAGCGTTCAGCGAATAATTCAAGCAAAATCTTGCTTAGAGAAATAAATCTCGAAATTCAATATTGATGATAATAATGTTCTTCAAAAAGAACCCTAAAACAAGCTTATATATCCCTAAACCAAACCCTACTAGGACTATAAAGCATAAAATATCAAAATTACAAAACTGCCCTTAAAATTAAAACCCATAAAAAATATTAAAATAATAGAAAAACCCATATAAACGATCTCGAATCGCTAAAATCCATCATTAGTCACAGCCAAAGGCGGTGAGTTTTGTTCAGATCGCCGTTTCGCTTCAAACGACCGAATTTGAGCTTGATCCGATGTCGTCAACCGGGTCCGTCGGTTCTAGTCGCATCACCGTTTCGCCTTCCGTTTGGACTTCTGCCTGTCCAACCGGTCCAAAAACGCACCACTAATAGATTCTGCATCACTAGTCAGGTAAGGTGGGTATTGGGTAAGTAAGAGGCGGATCTTTGAAAGATGAAGGCTGGAAGACCATTAAGTCTCTTTTCCAGCGAGTTAAGATTCCAAGATTAAGGCAAGTATTAAATCATCAAATTCACACAAATCGTGTAGAAAGGCAAGATCAGAGATAGAGAGCAGGACATGGACTTATTGGCTCGTCTTGGTTGATCCCTACTACGGGATAATGAATCCATCAATCGGTATGGCTTCCTTTGAAATTAAATTAGAAGTTTATTATAAAGTTCACTCCAGGTTTAAGGGCACCGGCACAGTTGGCTTTGGTGTCATTACATCGGCGGCGATTACAAAGTGCCACGGATTTTCTTTTTTGGGCTCCGTTTCTTGTATCATTAGAAGCGTCATGAGTAATGAAATAACGTATCGTCACTAAAAATTGCTAAAAAGTTTGCAACGAAACTTTGTACCTATTAGTGGCGATGGTTATAATCTCCGATCTCTTAGGATTAGTGACGAGAATGAAAAACGGGCACAAAGAAACATCACTGATCCTATGATTTTCATATGTGCAATTGCATGTCTTTTTGCATGAAAAGCGGGTGGAAGTTCCGAATGCTCTTGCCAACGCAATGGCTATGTCAAATGCATGCCAGTGTTCTGTGGTTTTATTTCTCTGAAGAGAGTATAGCTTAGCTCGCTACTTTAACTGGGAACAGCTGAAGATTCTCTTCATGAGAGGATACGTAGTTGAAGAAGAACCACAGAGGATCCACGATAAGGAGCTAGATGCTCTAGGGCTTTCCTTTCCCAAGTATCATATCGGACTGATCATTACACATCCCCTCGTGACTGTTTAACGTTTGGAACTCGTTGAGCAGGAGATGATGAATGATGCATTCAGCTGGGAAGGAACGAAGACTTTTGGAAACTAGGATTCCTGGAACTGGCGACTTCATGTAAGAGTGGAGTGATTCATGGGTCATGTCTTCTCGCTCATTTTGCAGCTTGTCGAAGAAATGAGAGAACTTGTTAACGAGTATCTTAAGGCATCGGTTAAACACGTTTAATGAAGGAAGTTCAATCCTTATAGCATTTGTTACTAAAGAAACAATGTCTTGAAAATTACAATCTTTCTTAATTTAATACCTTCATTAGTGCTCATGAGATACTCATTACCAAATCTTATGATTGGACGCTTTTCTTAACATTTGTCCCTACAACGCTTGATGAGCAACCAAATAAGGAGCGTTTGTAGTTTTTCATGACATCTTTTCTCGGGTTTATGTAATCAATTCTTAAAAAATCGAAATACCCCTCGTTAACTATATTTACCAAATGTCTGTTGTTATTCATTCATCAAGTTTGCCTGTAAGATTGATTCCGGAGTTCCGGATCGGTCATGAAAACCACTTCTTTACTCGTTGGGCTGATTGAATTGACTTTTTATTTTTATTTTTGTTTTTTAACTAACTTAAATCCAACAGTACACACATTTTGACCTTTTCCCAAATTTCTGAAACTTCCACAACACTTACGTATCGACAACCCTCAAATATTGATACGTGAATTTGTATATAATTTATTTTAAATTTCTAAAAATTGAAGTTTTGACGAGGAAACAAAAAAAAAGAAAATTTCAAATAAAGACTTGAAGTGCTCTCATTTTCTTAAGCAAGGACATGTAGTAGATTTTGTGTCAAATAAGGGCTTGAAATAGCCATATCAGTCTCAAATAAGGGCTTAAAGTGGCCATGATAGTTTTAAATAAGAGTCTGACATTGCCGGCCGGCTATATATTTCAACTGATCAAGGGCATTTTCGTCCAAATGCTATTTTAATTTTAAATTATTTTATTTTTTCTCTTTTTTCTAGTTTTTTATTTCTTCTTCATCGATGGGCTGATTGGCGACACCCGGAGAGGGCTGGCCAAGGTTCACCCTCACCCAATTTGGCAAGGGTCTCGCCGGCAATCCCTCGCCCAGGCAAGGTCGGTCCTCACTTGTGGCTTTCGAGGGTAGCCTTGCTAGTAGCTGGCGAGGGTCGACCTCACCTATGGTCGACAAGGGCGGTCTCGCCCATGGCGAGGGTGGCCCTTGCCAGATCAGGCGAGGGCTACCCTTGACCAACCCTTTTCGGGTGTCAATAAACTAGAAAAAGAAAAAAAGGGAAAAAAGGGGAAAAAAATTACAAGGTATATAACGAAATTACCCTTAACAATCCAAAAAGTCATGCCCTTCTTTAAAATAAATATAGTCACTTCAGTCTTTTATTTGAATTAAGATCCACCTCATATTCTTACTTGAAGAAATGATGACACTTTATGTCATTATTTGAAATAATGTTAATTTCATATTCTTATTCGAGAAAATATCGGTATTTTATGTCTTTGTAGGAAATTTTTTTTTAAAAAAAATATACCACTTAAAGTTTATTTGTTGGTGTGAACAAACTTGCGGTTGTTAAGGGTGCGTATGGTAACGTTTCTATTTTTGGGAACAATTTCTTTTCAGAAATAGTTTTTTCTATTTCTATTTCTATTTCCTGGAAGAGTTTTCGAGCAAAATAATGCGTTTGGTATTCAGCACAAAATTTCTATTCCTAAAAAAACAGAAATACGTTTGGAATCGCACAAAATTTCTATTCCCAATTTTTTGCATTTAAATCTATATCTTTTATTTAACTATAAATACAAGTTATAGTGAAAAAAACCAATAAGCATGATTTATTGGTTTGTCTAATCCTTTTAGGGTTTAAAACCCTTTTAATTCCTAAACTAAGGAATCTTCAAAAATACCACTTGGGCACCTCAAAAATTTAAATTTCATTTCAAAGTGGTACAGTGGTGTATTCTAAGCCATTATGTGAATTTTTTATATTTTTGGGGTAAAATTTATTAAAATTTTTACTTTCCCCAAATCTGTTTCTTTTTATTTTTCGAAAATTCTTTATGAAATTTTTTTAATTTTTCAATTTCGGAATTTTGCAAATATTTAAGGGTTTTCGAGTTTTTCTGATTTTTATGGATTTTCGGAAGTTTTCTCGATTTATATGAATTTTGGGAATTTTTTAATTTTCTAATTTTTTATGGGATTTTTCTGAAATTTTTCTAATTTTTATGAATTTTCGGAATTTTTAATTTATTCTAAGCCATTATGTGAATTTTTATTTTTGTTTTTTTGGGGAAAAGTTTATTAAAACTTTTTACTTTCCCGAAATTTGTCTCCTTTTTTTTTTAAAG